TTGTATATATTAGTGTGGGTTATGTATAATTGAATGTGATTTTTTTGTTTTTTAAATTTTATCTGTAAATGAAATGAATTTGAATGTGATTGATTCTTCTTCCTTTATAGGTTATCTTGTTAAAGATCAAACAAATACAAGAAGTAAAGCTGTTTGGATTGGATTGTCATGCTCAGTACATTAATTAGTTGATTATTTATTTATTTAGAGAAAAAATAATAATAATAATAATAATAATAATGGGCTCAAGGTCACCTTCCCCAAATGCTTCTTCCCCTTCTCCATCTCCAGCTGCAGCAGCTCCCTCATCACTAAATTCCCCACCTCCTTTAAACCCTACCAACCAAACAACTCATTCATCATCTACCCCTCCGCCGGAGGAGGCCCCCACCCCCCTCCCCCCGCCTCCCGCATCACCGCCACTGCCGCCGCCGTCCGAATCACCACCGCCGTCGGCACCGCCACCATCACTGCTGAGGTCACCGCCCGCATCACCACCGACGAGATCACCGCCACCGCCGCCGCCGCCGCAGAGAGAATCACCGCTGAGGTCACCGCCCGCATCACCACCGACGAGATCACCCCCCGCAACACGGCCACCTCAGCCGCCAGCTGCCTTAGCACCGGTGCATCATCACTCTTCAGGAGGCGATTCCGGGTCGGAGCTGCCGACCGCAAAATCGGTACAGCCTATCCGGAACATAAGCGCCGAAGGGGATTCAGTGAGCTCTCCGGGGCTGAGGGGCGGAAGCGTAATTGTGCTCAGCAGTTTTGTTGGCATTTTGGCTCTGACAGTGGCCGTGTTTTTCGCGTGGTTTGTCAAGAGAAGGAAGAAAGGAAAAGGAGGTGGTGGTGGCCGTGGTGGCCCGGAGATCAACCAACCGGAGCACTCTGCCTTTGCTTCGTCCCATAACACAGGTACTTCGTCCCAGTTTATGCAAGAACACTTATTGTTCTAGACAGAGTGGTTATCTGTGGCAATAAAATATAATTTATTTATACTTTGTTCTTTTCTCTTTACAGATTCTGCATTCCTAAGACCCCAATATTCGAATCTCACGTGCTCATCGGATGGCGGCAGGGGTGCTTCTTCAAGGTCGTGGCTCACGTACGAGGATTTATATGAGGCCACAAATGGGTTTTCAGAAGATAATGTTTTGGGCAAAGGTGGTTTTGGCTCTGTTTATAAAGGGGTGCTAATGGACAGCAGAGAAGTTGCTGTCAAGCAGTTGAAAGCTGGCAGCAGACAGGGCGAGCGTGAGTTCCGAGCAGAAGTCGAGATTATTAGCCGCATACACCACAGGCATTTGGTCTCACTTGTCGGTTATTGTATCTCTGAGAACCAAAGGTTGCTCGTTTATGAGTATGTGCCAAATAACAACCTGCATTATCATCTCCATGGTAAGTTTAGGAGAATATTTTTGTTTTTTCTTTCCTTTTTGATCAATAGCGAGGATTAGTTTCTTGATCAACTATTGTGCGATAAGGATTCGTATGACAATTTGAACCAAACACACCCTTGCAGAATTTACTCGATTATTTGTTTTTTATAGTTGCATTAATTGTGGTGTGCAGGTGAAGGCAATCAAGTGATGGACTGGGCTAATCGAGTAAAAGTTGCAAGTGGTGCAGCACGTGGGCTAGCGTATCTTCACGAAGACTGTAAGCTCTGGCAATAAAATTTGCAATTGGTACTCGTTCTGTGGAAAAAATAAAATAACATTGTGGCTAGTATTAGCAGGCGCACTCTATTTGAAGTTTTCTATCATTTTTGCTTTGAATTCTGCTTTGGGAATACATGTTATATGTGAAAAATAAATCATAATGTACTTAGAATTCTTTGTGTTATCAGGTCAACCGCGCATCATTCACAGGGATATCAAGTCGACAAACATTCTCCTTGATAACAACTTTGAAGCACGGGTATAACAATTGATTTTCTCTGACTCTACTGTTACTAAATTTGCAGAAGTATCTGAGTGCACTTAATGTTGCATGATTAATATATTCACCATTATTTGATTGCCTGAGTTTTGGTTTGAGGACAGGTTGCAGATTTCGGGCTTGCAAAGCTCGCAATGGAATTGGATATAAATACTCACGTGTCGACTCGTGTAATGGGAACCTTTGGGTAGGTCACCACTTTCGGTCGAAATTAGGGATATTTACCAAATGTACCCATGGGGTAACGTAACTAGGAAAGTTTAGTTATATATGCCAAAATGTACAATTTAGTCCTTAAGGTAATCACTAACACCCGCTTCAGTTCTATCTTAACTTTAAATAGACACCCTACTAAGGATTCAAAACTTTTGATTCTAAGTTAACTGGTTCCTTTCCGTTTTTTACGCAGAGTAAGTTAACCTTCGGTTGATTCTTTTTTTTTCTGTCGTTTTACGGAAGTTTGGCTAACTTTGCAGATACATGGCTCCAGAGTATGCGGCCACTGGTAAACTCACTGAGAAATCAGATGTTTATTCATTTGGTGTTGTGCTTTTGGAGCTCATTACTGGTCGGGAGCCTGTTGACTCGTCTCGACCTTCGGGTGATGAAAGCCTGGTTGAATGGGTAAGTCGGTTGCATTACTCTCTCTCTCTTTCTCTCTCTCTCTCTCTCTGTCTCTCTCTCTATATATATAATCTATTTTGGTTCGACATTTTAGCATCTACAATGATTTGGGCCTAATTTTGCTTACATGGCACATAAATAGATTTAAGTTTTGGATGACATGAGCAGAAATATATAAAAGTAACAAAATTAATTCGAATGAGGTCTCTTCTTGAGTCTGAATTAGTCTAAAACAGACTTTAGTAGACAGTCTATTTTTCTTGTTGTCGCACATACTCAGTCTACTTGCACTTGCATTAGAGTATATTTTTTACATGGCTTGTATATTTTTTGAATGAACCCAAAGGACTGTGGATGTTTTATAAGATCTCGAAAAGTGTTCGATATTTTTCTTTAGCTTCTTTTTTCCAATGGTCGTTTAAGTTATCAGGTACGTTAACTTCCCAACTATTTTTCTTTTTAATTACCATGATTGGTTTTGATCTATAGATGCATAGCCACCGGTACGAACATTTTATAAGCTACAACACATTTTGCCATCCACGCACTTAAACAATTTGATCAAAAACTAAAGATGTAACTCGTATGAAGCCTAAAACATAATTATAAGATACGAAGCATATAAGATCAGTTGAGCAAGTCGCAAGAAGCCATGATGAATCCTTTATTAACCTCCATTCCTCCGTTGCAGGCTAGACCATTACTCGCTCGGGCACTCGAGTCACTAGATTTTGCAGAGCTTGTCGACCAGAGGCTCGAAAACAATTTCAGTGAAAGAGAGATGTTCCGTATGATAGAAGCAGCCACGGCTTGCATTCGTCACTCGGCTTCTAAAAGGCCGCGTATGAGCCAAGTATGTGAAACACTCATGAGTCATGTCTCTTTTTTCTTTTCTTTTTTTTTTTTTATAATTTTTAAATGATTTGTTGTTAATAGCTTTTTATTTATTTATTTTTTTCATTTTCGTAGATAGCGAGAGCTTTAGACTCGATGGAAGAGTTGGATGATTTGAGCAGTGTAATCATACAGAGCCAGAGTGGAAATTTCGATTCTAGAGAACATTCGGCACAAATCCGAAGGTTTGACAGAATGGCTTTCGGTAATGAAGACTACTATAGCTCGGGTTCGTTTAGTCGCTCTCAATGTAGTTGGAGGAGTTGATGGGTTTTAGCTTGAAAATGCATTTCATTACAAAAAGAAAAAGGAACACTGTTTTTCAGAGCTTAAATACTCTTTTTGAAAGAGAAATTAATGTGGAGAGGGTATGATTTAAAATTTTGAAAGATACATATACCCTTTTTATTCTAATTATGGAGATTGATATTCCGGGTGAACTTTTGTAATTAGTATTTGTAATTACAATTTGCAAATTTATTGATTATGATATCTGAATCCGGTTTATATAGATGCAACCAACGATTGGTGATTCCTTGGATTGCAATACGGGCCAAACCGAATAACACAACATGTGCACAGGCTCAAGTTTGGCTCGTTTGTTTTTATATAAGCTTGAGCGTTGTTCATGTTCGATATGATCTTTTCAATAAGAGCTGAAACTTGGTTTGTCAAGTTAATTATAACTCACCACATCCTTCTATCGAATCGATCATAACCACTACTACTTCGGGTTCGTTTCGAAAAAATGATTGTTTTGTATGCAAGTTGAGCTTAACTGAAAGTCTCGAACAACGCTAAAAAAACTCTGGTGTTTCGGCAAAAGGCTTGTTTTGTATGCAAGTTGAGCTTAACTGGAAGTCTCGAACAACGCTAAAAAAAACTCTGGTAGCGTAAACGACCTTGACTTGGTCCGATGTCCTTTGGTCGGTCCTTGAACCGGTGAAATGACTAGCAAAACATCGTCGAAGGTTAGTCCCAGTGTAGAAGCTCCGACGCCCGAGTCAGTATTTCAAAGTGAAGATGTATATTGAGTATAGAAAGATTGTGTCGACAGATGATGATCATACTTCACTCATTTATCCCTTTATATAGAGATGTTATATTGTTGTCCAAGTTTCGCCTGATCTTGCTGCACGAGTGCCTGAACTACCCGATCACATTGCCCGAGTGCCCGATTGCCCAATTTTGTTACACACATGTCCTTCCTAATTATATTCGTACTTATTCATTATCTAGTGTGGTCACATTAGTCTACCTCATTAGGTAGTCACTCTAAGCATAACCGAGCTATCAGCTTCGTTTCCTTTGTACTCGACCATTCTGGTCTTCACCTTAAGTACATTTTGTAGGTCTTTATTCTATCTCTTTACTTCTTGGTCAAGTTTCCACCAGACTATCCTAAAGTCCTAGCTCGACCTGTTGTTAAACTGGTTGTCTCATATGCCCTCAGTGACCTGGTGGTCTCTCGACGTTGATTCTTCATGTTGTTTGACCTCCGACCGAACTGTTGGTCTTAATCGAACCGCTCAAGCTGCTCTCAGGTCGGGCCGAGCAAGGATGACTCAACCTAAGCGTAGAATAAGGTATTTTCAATTATTTTGTTAACAACGTACTGCCCCATCAATCAAATTGTTTCTAATAATTATAGAGTAGAATAAGGAATTTTCAATTATAGTATGCAAGTTGAGCTTAGCATGAAATCTCGATCAATGCTAAAAATGCTAAAAAAAACTCTAGGGTAAACGACCTCGATTAGGATGGATTTAATAATTATATTTTAATATTATTTCTTATTCAAGAGTTAGTTTATAAGACATAATTTCTTTGTTAATCTTTTTTTCTCATGTTTCTTTTATGATTATAAAAATCTACTACCTAATTAATAAATATATCTAAACGTTAATATTTTCTTTATTTATTATCAATTTCTATATAATATATTAAATAAATCGCGTCTTTTGAACATCGATTACATCTTTATTGTACATATTTATCTTTATATTAAAAATTGAATTACAGATTAATATATTTAAATATTAACCTATAAAGTAGTTATATAATCTAAACTAAAAATGTATTATAATACAAGATGATAATACAATGTCATTTTAAATATAGATAATATTTATCGTTTTCTAAAAAGTATTTGAAAATTAAAATGTATTTTTTTTTTACTTTTAAATTTAAATATAAATTTCTTAACACGTGCCCGTATAATAAACTAAACGAGTATTATACTATGGGAGCATTTATCTATACGAGTAATGCTCTTCTACTCACGGTGGACACATGTGCTCACCGCAAAAAAATACATCACCAATGTGTGCATGCCACATAAACGATTGACATATAAATACGTGACTTCCGTGTGCAGGGGAGCATTTATCTATACTGGTAACACTTAATTGTAGTACTATAATTTATAGTTCTAACGCGAAGAAGTGCGTCCACGCGAAGAAGTGCGTCCACGCGAAGAAGTGCGTCCACACGAAGAAGTGCGCCCACGCGAAGAATTGCTTGTACGACCTTGAGAATTATCCCTATACTCCCATCGCGATGCTTCACGCTTAGTAGAATCAGTTTTTTTGGGACGACCTC